AGCTCAGTAAAAAAATAACTTCTGATCTCTTTGTTCAGTAGCTTGTCTTCTCCAATGTTGACTGTGCTGATAAAAACAATTTTTTGACTACCTGAGCACATTTCTTTTTTATATACATTCTTAAGAGTAGCTACTATAATCTTGTTTTCTAGTACTGAGGATTAAACCCAGGACATTCTCGCTGAGCTACAGTGAGACAAAGAAAGAAAAGAAAAGCAAGGTAGACAGGCAGGCATGGTGGTGCATACCCATAATCTTAGCACTTTAGGAGGCTAAGACAGAAAGATTGCTGCAAATTCGAGGCCAGGCTAGGCTACACAGTGAGTTCAAGGACAGTCTGAACTATACAATGCCTGACTCTTAAAAGGACAAAAGAAAAAAATAATTAAATAAGGCAAAATAAAAAGGGCCAGAGATGTTGCTCAGCGGTAGAGTACTTGCATAGCACACACAAGTCTGAGTTCAATTCCCAGTGTCACAAAGGAAAAGCCAATCTCCATACACTAGTTTTGTTACAATCTTTTCCCCTCTGTTGTATACATTCTTCCCCACATTTTAGAACAGGAAGGAAATTTAGAAATCATCTGGTTCACTAGATTGCGTTCCTTGGACAGAAAACTATTTACATGCCCCTTCCTCACCTGCCACTTAAGCACTCAGTAAATTGGTTTTTAATTTAAATAGGCATAAATACCCACCACAAACACACAAAGTAAGACATGATGATAGATTTCCACCTTGGATTAGTCTTCACTTAACTAGAAAACATTTGGGAGAAAGAAGGAAAAAAAAAAAAAAACAGATTTTAATACTAAATAAACCCAATAGCTGGTTGTGATGGCACACACCTATAATCCAAGCTGAGGTTGGAGGATTGTTGTGAGTGGAGGCCAGACTGGGCTACAAAATGAGTTCAAGGCCAGCCTCAAGTGCATAGTGAGACCCTGTCTCAGAAAGACAAAATAAATAAATAAACCCAGTAACTCTGGATTTATACCATTTCCTATTAAGTGACAAAGCTGAACAAACAGGAATATAGGTTTTTATTTTGAATAAAGGCATGAAAAGAACAGAAATAAAACACCAAACACTAAGTTAAAACCACAAATCTTAGTCAAGCATTAGTGATACATGCCTGGACAACTTAATTGAAAACTGAAAGAATTATGCTTTAAAAAATACATTTAACAATACATTTTTAAACTTTTACAGGTGTTCCTAAGCATTATCAATTCAGTAAACACAACACACATTATTTTCCTAGCTCTAGTTACAGGCAGGAAAAGGAGGAATGTCTAAGATAACTAACCAAAATCACCAAATATAAGGTTTAGGACTGTAGTATATACTAACACTGAACTTCAAAAAGAAACACAAAGAAAAAAAGTACTCAAACTGCCTATAAATCAAATTGAGGGCTGGCTTTCCTCACATGAGAAAGGCCCTCAATTCAATCCCTAACACCACAAAAATAAAATAATAACAATAATAAAGTTCTTGTACATGTCAGAACAAAACCTTAAAGACTGGATATCCCAACAAAACAACACTTTGAATAATGACTTAATACATAAGCTCACAGAAGTTACTAATCATATATACACAGCAAAGAGATTTAAAATATCAGTGTCCAACTGGGGATGTAGCTCAATAGTAGAACACTTGGGCACCTGCCCAACATTGTATCACCAGTATCACGAAGAAAAAAAGTACCAATGTCCATATAATATTAAAACTTTTAAAAATGCCAGGTGTAGCGGCATACACTGGTAATCCCAGCTACCCTGGCAAATTAATGGTCAGCCTGGACAACTTAGTTGAGATCCCACCTTAAGAAATAAAAACTATGAGCCATGCATTGTGGTACACACTCATGATAATATACAGCAAGCTTCACAGGAGGTTGAGGCAGGAGAATCACAAATTTGAAGCTAACCTGTGCAAACCCGTGACAAGCTGATTCAAAATAAAAGAGCTGGATATATAACTCATGGCTCTCTGGGTTCAATCCCTATCACCACAAACTAAAATGAAACAAACTGAATTAGTGAATAACATTACTCACTAATTCAGTTTGTTTCATTTTAGTTAACTGTTAAATTAACTTAACTGTTAACTGTTAAGTTAATATGAAGCAAACAACAGACAATGTCTCCAACTCCAAAATCCAGTCCATCACATTTCCCACCAACTAGTTCAGAGCAGGGTATGGTGGCCTATACCTAAAGGCCTGTATTCAGGAGGCCATGACTAGGGGATAACCTGAGTTGGAGGCCAGTCTGGGCTACAAATGAGTTCAAAGCCTGACTGAACTACATAAAGAAACCATGTCTCCAAAAATAAAAACAAATAAACAAAGACTATTCAGGCCAGGCATGGAGGCCCAAGACTGTAGTCCTAGCACTCGGGAGGACTGCCACAAGCACGAGGCCAGCCTTAACTACACAGCAAGACCCTGTCTCAAGGGGAGAAAAAAAAAGTCTATTCAGGGGGGAAAAAAAATTCCTGTTAAGAAATCTAATTAACTGGTGCTTTGGGTATAACTAACTTAAAGTTTCTCATCTCCTTTCAGACTTTATACACCTATTTTTATATTTACATCTATAAAAGTGCAACATTATAAAAAACATTAGTTTGAAGTTTTAAGAATACAGTGTTAAATAGGGTCTGGTGGTACAGGGCTCTAATCTCAGCACTTGAGAGGCTAAGGCAGGAAGACCTCCAGTTGTATTACAACCTAGGCTACATAGCAAAATCCAGTCTCAAAAAGCCAAATAACGCAAGGTCACTGACAAGCACACTGAAACAGACTTGATTTGTAAATTTAAACAAGAAAACTTTACATTTAATGGAACACCTTGAAATTTCATCCAAGTTCTTCTGAAAATTGGATAAAAGTCATTGCAGTTAATACCATTAATTGCAATGTTAATTCTTGAATTCAAAATTATTTCATAATTGCACATTTACTGAGCACCTACTCTATACTACATTCAACTGCACATATGGACATATGATCTACCCAAAATACTATATGTTCTACTTTAAAAATAAAGGCAATCATAAGATATCAGGTAACTATTAATTGTAGGGTTCTAAATATGCTCATTAACCCAAGAAAAGCTATGCTCTGAGTAGTGGAGAAATCCAGATATCCAGGATCAGCAAAACTACATTACAAAGTTAACAGCCTCCATCCTTCAAATATCCCAAGAGAAAAAAGGGAGTGATTCAAACTGTTAGCATGTGCCCAACGACACTACACAGTGGCAGCCTAAGCAAAACTGCCAGATGCTTTTGTAATTGAGAGGCCTAACCTTGATAAAGCATCATCAGTGGGATCTGCATTCAAATCGGTAGGAGGATTCAGAAAGCAAAGCTCAGGCAAAACACAAAAAGCACATTTAAGCATAAACTGTTCAAGCGTTGAAAAGATTCGAATCGATGTTCTTTTCTTAAATTTGTGAGCATCTATTCCGTGATGGGGCAATTTAAAAGTAAGAATTTAAAAGCATAGGTCTGTGAGGTGTAGACAGGTTTGCCTAATGATATTCTCGGTTTAAGACCCAGGACCAAGAAACTACATGATTAATTAGAAGTAAAACCTAAAGACATACGGTTCCGACAGGAGCTACTGCATAAATACGACTATACACTAAGATCATTGCTACGAAAAATAAACACAACTAGGGAAGGGAAGAGAACTCGAAAATCAGGGTAGGCGATACTCTCCAAACCAGGAATTGTTAGTTTGACATCCTCGCCAGCTTTTAATGAAAGTTGACAAACTCCCCAAAAGAAGTCGATTTTGGAGTCTCTCTCATTGATTCAAAGCGTATGCGCACCCCTACGGTAGTGCAAGCGCCAGGAAGCTGGCAGCACCCAGACTAAGAAAAGCCCTTTCTCGTTCCTTCAAGGCCACAGCAGCGCGGCGCTGGGGAGGCCGCCGGACTCCCGCGGCAGCGGCAGATCTGCGCCAGACCCCAGCTCCTCGAGTTGGCGGAGCCGCCGCCTCTGCTTCCCTCGCCGGCCGGGAGACGAAAGTTATGTGAAGAAAACTCCAGGGCGGCGGAGCCGCTTCCCTGCGAGGCCTGAGGGCTGCAGTCCCTCCAGCCCACCCTCAGCCCCAGCGGCCCGGAGGACGCGAAGTCACCAGCAGCGGGAGGGCGGGCAAGCGAGCGAGCACTGGGGTCGGGCTGTTTGGACCCTCGCGGACCGCGCCTCCCGCCAACTTCTGGAGCGAAACCGGCGCACCAGCGCAGGGCCCGCCGCGATCCCGCGCCCGGGATCCGCAGAGCCTTCAACCGCGGCCCGCACGCTTCGCCTCGCCAGACTCCTCGCTAGGACGCAGCCCGAGTCCCGCGGCTCCACCTGCAGCCAGGCCGCGGCCCTGTGCCCCTTCCCGCCTCACCTGCGAGCCGCGACCGCTCCGTAGCTTCTCGCCCGTTCCGCGCGCCCCGTCGGGGCACGCACGAAACCCGGCCGCGGTGACTCGGACACGAAGGCCACCGCCGCTTTCTTCTCCTCGGCACAAGCCCCTGTGGCGAGCAGAGGGTCGTGGTCACAGCCCCAACCGGGGCCAAAGTGAACCTCACTGCCTCCGCAGCCTCCGCCACCAATTCCCTTCAGTCGTCCGCGCCGCCCCAAGAAAATGTCACCAGAGGCCGTTCCGCTCTGCGCCTCACTTCCGCCCGGAACCACAGAGCCTGCGCCGGCGGGGTAGAGAGGCCACTGCGGCGGCCGCCTCTAATGACTAGGGCCGGACTCAGCGAGGAAGCCACACAGCGCCGTCTGGCGGCAAGGAATCTACGCTCCTCCCGCTGCAGAGCGCGGACTCGGTGGCGCCGGCTTCCCAGGCTTCTTTCCCTCGTGGTTTCCTTCTGTTCAGGCAGCTCCTTTCTATAAATGTCTCTCCCGTGGAGTAGTAAAGCCAGTCCATGCAAGCCAAGGACAATGCCTTAAGAAAAGGCTCACTTTCCCATGCTGTGTCTAGTACTCACCCCCTCCCGACGCCTTCCCGAATGAAGCCCGCGATGACTGATACTGAGTCACTGCAGCAAGGAGTCAGCTCCCTGCTCTTCTCAGTTTTCTGCGGAATCCAACAGCTCGGAACGGAAAGGCTGGGCTGTGCTCCTCTCCAGCAATAGCACCAACATCCTGTTCAAGTTTCTGCACGGGAACCTCGCAGGCCTTGCCGGATAGCGCGCCACCTGCTGGTGAGACGCTGCCTACCAGGGAGATCCCGCTCCGCCGCTGCGCGCGTTCCGACGCCCTAATTACGCTCTGCAGAGTCACTGCGCGGGTGTGCAGCTTGTCCTGCCAGGAGGACGCACCTGCGTGCCCTTTGAGTTTACTGGGCTGGTCCTCGGGATGGGAAAGTGGATGCATCGCGCACGGCGTGCGGCACCCATAGAAAAGGGAGGCGGGCGACGACCACGTAGGCGAGTAGCAGGCTTCGGAGGAGAAAGGGAAGATGCCAGATGCTGAGGACAGTTTCACAACTCAAGATCTGGCTCACTGGAGGCGGGGCAAGATGCTCAGAGTGGGTAATAAAAAAATTTAAAAGACCTGAGCAGAACATGTCAAAGGTCTTTACCTTGTAAGAAACTACGCTAGAACTTCAGACGAGATTCCCTAGAGAAGACTCAATATCCCACAGCCCCTTAACCTCAGTCTCCTTTTTAGATCAGATCCTTCAGCCTGTTCTAAAAAGTTAATTCCAGTTCACTCTGGGTTTGTTAAGTAGGCTTTTATTGATGTATAATAAGTGTACTATTTAAGGAGTGCTGCGTTACATTTCAAAACGTGCAATATGTGATGATCAAATCATGGCAATTAGCAGTGACAATTATTATCATTTCTTTGTATTAAGAACCTCTCTTCTAGTTTTTTGGTTTGCTTTCATTTGCTTTGGTGTGTGGTTTTTCTCGGTAAAGGGGTTAAACCCACGGGTGCACTGCCACTGAACTCCCCCGCTCAACCTTTATTTTTTGTATTGAGACAGCTCCTCACTTAATTGTCCAGACTACTCTCAAACTTGCTGTCCTCCAGCCTCAGCCTCCCAAGTATCTGGGATTCCAGGTGTACACCTTTCCACTTGGATTCTACTAGGTACAGTATTTTGAAATGTGCACTTAATATAGCTCAGTGATAGAGCACTTGCCTAGCAAATGAATCCTTTGGTTCTCTCTCAGCATCTCAACAACAAAATAATGGATTCAGAGCCAGGCATGATAGCACCTGTAATTCCAGCAGCCTGGGCCACATAGTGAGTTCAAAGCCAACCTGAACTATGTAGGTAGACCTTGGGTCAAAAAGACAAACAAAAACTAGATTCATTCCTTTTATCCTCATGATAACCCTGGGAGTTTAAAACTATTACTAATCCCAGTTTATAAAGGTGGAAATTGAGGCACAGAGTGACCTGCCCAAGATGACACCTCAGTAAACATCAGAGTTAGATTCCAACACAATTAAATGTCACAGTTTAACTTTTAAACCACAACTACCTACTGCTTCCTTGAGGTTTACTGAGAAGCTAATGAATGCCAGGGAAATAGTTTAGCTGTGTGTGTCTTTCACTTGTTTGTTGGTTTGTTTCCTGTTGCCTTTAGTCCTCAAGGGATCTGAGTGGTTGTGGGTTGTGGGGTAGTGACAAAAGCCTGGGCTCTTTCAGGCGAAAAAGAGAAAAGAAAGTAACCACTAAAATCACAGCTGCTTATGAGGTGCTACACACCTGGTACCTGGCACTTGGGAGCCTGAGGCACAAGGATCACAAGTTTAAGGGTAGCCCCTGCAACACAGCAACAACCTATCTCAAAACAAACAAAAACCCAAACACCACACACACACGCACACACACATGCCACGTGCACACACACACCAGCTTCACAGATATCAGTCTTGAAGTAAGTGAGTAAATGTGAACTAACACTTTCATTTTTAACAATATCATCTCATCAATGCTATAGAAATTCTGAGGTAGGACCCTAACTGATAGGGTATCATCTTGGCTTCCTCTCCTGTTTGTTTCTCGACAGTGAATGGACCGCAGATTTTTGGCTACTTGACGTTCTAATTACTAATGTTTGTATTATTACCTTCCCCCCCACCCAATGGTAGTGATTGTATCTGAGCCTTATACGCACTAGGCAATGCTCCACCCACTGGACCCAGGGGTGTCACCCAGTGGGTAAGCATTTGCCTACCATGCTTAAGGCTCCTGTTCAATCACTAGCAACATACATAAATAATCAGATAAGTAAGCAAGTAGAAGGACTCTTCAGGTAATGGAGAGACCCTTGGCTCTCTGGTCTGGGCTGGCCCCTCCCTCCCCAGATTGCTAGGAACTGGGCTGCCACCCAGAGCATCCACTATGATCACCCAGCATCCACCACAAGCAGTGGAAGCTGGGGATATGCTCAGCCTCTGCATTCTGAGCCACGGCACCCACAACCAGGTGCCATTCCACAGTTAACTCTCCCTACTCTGCCTCACCAGCTCATTCCAGGGAGTGAAATTGTAGTCTCCACATGGGAGCCATCCAGAAGCATTTGAAGAATTCCCAGTGGCAGAATAGGTAGTCCTCAGGAGCTTTTGATCTTCCTCTATGTAACAGGCCTCAGCGCCCTGGCCTGTCCAGCAGAGATGATCTCCTAATACTTCCTTGTTGTCTCCCCCCCAAATGAGGGTAGACAGACCCATGTATGTCAAGCACCCGGCACAATTCTAGCTCAGAGAGAATGTTCTAGAATCAGCTGTCCTGATGACCACATGCCAGCGCACACTTCCTAGGCACACAGGCTCTCAGTGCTGGCTTCCAGGAACATTTCCATCTCAACAGGCTCATTTTTCCAGAGCAACAAGTTCACGTGGAACCAGAGCCAGAATGGAACAGTGCAAGAGGCTGTCATGGAAGTGGAGCCAGGGGAGCTGGGAGTGACTTCTCCCTCCGCTCTCCACTGTCCTCTGGGCTGGCTAATGGAGGCTCCTCTGTCCTGGATACAGTGCTCTGGAACCCAGCTCCCAGTCCTTCTTGCCAGTCAGGTGACTCCCAAAAACCCAGTCCATATAGAGAGACTTTAAAAATGTTTCAAAGTAAAAAAAAGTACAAAGGACAGTTTTGAATTATCAGCCAGTTTATGCTCACTTCACCTTGTTTTGCAGTACTGAGCCCTGGTGCATGCTAGACAAACATTCCCACTGAGCTACATCCCCAGCTCCTTTTTATTGTTTGAGATAGTGTCTAAGTTTCCCATGCTGGCCTCAGACTTGTGACAATCCTGCTTCAGCCTCCCCGAGGGCTACGATTACAGGTGTCCATCAACACCTGTGGGTTTTATCAATGAAAGGAATCACACAATCACTGGATGTTTTGTGGGCCTTCCTAGGAGGGGAGAATGCTCCTTTGACAACTCATCTCAACTGGCAGCCTCTGTCTCCTTCATCTCATTTGCCATCATATTCCTGGAGGTGCACAGCATGAAGTGTGGAGGCATAGGGGCAGGAGTCTGCGGTCTGCTCAGAGCCTCACGGCCAGCAGCCAAGGCACACTCAGCATATGTGCCCTGAAGGGACAGAAGAGGTCCACGAGACATAAACTGCAAGATGTCAAAACAAGGAAGCGGGTCCAGGTGCCAAGTGGGTGAGAAGCTGGCAGAGGACAGGCCTGTAGACGGAGTGGAGGGAGGGGGTTGTCAGGGAGGATCCACACCTGCTGACTGCGGTAAAGAAAAGAAGCCAGCCTTGTGGGAAGGAAGAACACAGGTCATGCTGTGACAGACAGCAAAGCAACGCAGGAAGGTTACAGGTGGTCAGACAGGGCTGGGCCTTCGGGGCAGTCAACACGGAGGGTGGAAACACGGTACAGCATGGCCAGAGGTGCATCAGGTGGAGGCCCAGGCCTACGTGCCTCCCTGGGAGATGAGTATTGGATTGGAAATTGTGCTCACTTGAGAGACATTTGTGACCCCTGTGGATGGCCAGAACCCCCGGGTGCATCCCTTCACAGAAAGATCCTTTTTCTTTCCAAATACACTTGCCGCATGACCTGCTTTCCCACTGGATCGATGTTAACTAAATGGCTAAACTTGTAATCTTATTGGTTGATCATAGTGTTTCCTACATTGTACCCACCCTATGATTTTGCTCTATGAAACTGACCTTGTAAAATAGAGTTCTGTGGCAACCTGTGTTTTGGACCCCCTCTTGTCCAGGCTCTCTCTCTCAATAAATATTTCCTGCTCTTAACCTCTGTATTTCTTTCAAATTCATTCTTTGGTCTTGGGATACATGAACTCTGTGTATCAGACGTCTAGCAGTTTGGGAGCCTGGCAGAAAGGACACTGTAAAAGCTCATGATAATTAAGGGCCAAGTATGCAGAGCAGCCAACCTTGCAGAGGAACAAAAGACCCCGGGCTAGGTGGAGGCCAACATCCCAAGTCATGTAGCAAATGTGCATGGAAAGAACAAGGACCTGTCCTGGAAGGGATGGCTCAGGAAGACCTCAGGCCCCCACCCAGGTGACTGACGCCTATTTGAGTATCAATCACAGCTGTTCATCCCTGAGATAATTATGTAGGTGTAGTCACTTCATTTTTGTCTCGAGGTCTGGCTTTCCATGAATGCATCTCCACCCACGGTTGCACTGTGTACTCATTTGCACCGACTCCTTGGAGAGCTTAGCCCTGTCTGTCTGCCTACAATATTTCTATTCAACTTAGCTGCTATTATACAAGGACCAGACCACTGTGACTGCAGAGAAGGCATCCAGTTACGAGGACCGAAACAATAAGCAGTGCCTCTGAAGAGGAATCCATAGAGTTACCCTTCCCTGGTGACATGCGGAAGTACCAGATCCTAGTGGAGAGGGTAGCTGTCTCCTGCCCTGTGAGGTTCAGCCCGGTGTTTGCCATTTGCATAGATTAAGTGACTGACTCCCGCCGCCTGACAGATCAGCAAAGTGCAGGGCCATTTGACTCCAGAGATGTCTATTGGAAGCCTGCCCACCAGTGGCAAGGCATACTGGTAGGTTCTCTCCCAAAGGCCAGCAAGGAAGGTTTTACCAAGGAGGAAACTGGGGCTCAGAGAAGACACAACCAGGACACAGAGGCCAAGGGAGCAGAGTCAGGGTTCCTGCAAGGAAGGTGTCCATCCCCCCGCAGAACACTGCTCCCAGGCTGGTAGCACGGATCAGCTCAGGAATATGTTGCAGCAGCAGAGGGCTCAGCGTGGTATCGGGCACATGATGGGAAGAAATTAATTCCCAAGGGCAGGGCCTAGCTGGAAGAGGAAGCTTTTACTGAGGGCCTTGCAGAAGGGCTGGTTCTCAGGGATGAGGATGGCAGGGAAGGGAGTCGTGCC